TTGAAGAGACACGATTTCTCAGTACTGTATTTTTGTTTGGCAAATTTTAGTCAGAGTATGATTTATTCTGGAGTAAATTTTGCGGGAAAATTTTTGCGTTAATTTCGCGGATCGCTGGCAAAATCGCAAAAATCGCAAAAATTAGGACCCGCAAAAATTTCGTGCCACACGGTATCTCTAGTTTATCTGAACTTTGTTTGTTTTGTTGACAGCTTGTCTCTATTTTTGAGGAAAACAACAAAAAAATCGTCCCGTTCGTAGGAGAAAAGCTTCAGCGCATCTGAAATTTTTTTTTGCTGATCGCGTGCAGTACCATTGAGGCGTAATTACAGCGGCCGCACAGTGCTAAATTGTCTAAACTAAACCAAATTGGTTCGACATGGACAGAGTTTTTAAGCCAAGAAAAGGTGTTTATGAGTTTGTTATCAGTAGTATTTTTATAAGGTTTGATTTTATACACTGCGAACCGACTGGATGAAAATAAACTCATTTAATTTTTTGAACTATTATGGAAGGGACGTCTGTACACAGGCTAGCGTGGGCATTAGATAAGAGTGTTAACTCCGGAGTTCACATATGGCGTTTTTTATCCCGGGGGGTACTCCACATAGGCCTATATAGGGAGGCTCCGAGCGAAAGGGGTACCTTTTTTAGGCTTCAGGTATAAAACGGGTAGAGATTTCCCTAGCTCAAGTATATGAAAGGGTAGAAATGCGTCATTTCGGTCAGTAGAAAAGGCCAAAAGGACTAGGCTCACGATCACGCTGTTTACCTTTCCCACAGGTAGCCCAAGCTCACTATGAGAGCCCTGAACAACATTATTATTCATACGACAATAGTTATAAGACGTTGTAAGAGAATTATCTTATTTTTCCTTAATTGAGCGAAACGTACATTAAATTTTTCCTTTTAGTAGTTTGTTATGTTTATTTGTGTGTTGGCTGCATTTCAGGCCTCTTAGGATGCCAAGAACCCGAAAACAACACTACCCATCTAAGCTAATTAACTATTCATACATCAAGAAAATTATGAGACGACCTAAGACGTTGTATGGAGAAGTAATTTTTGCTCACTAAATTAGCAAAATGTACATTGAATATCGCTTTGAAGCATACCTTTAGCGTCTTCTTGTTTTTCTTTGTATTTTGACTGCATTTCAGACCTCCTAGGCACTGTCTCGGAAATCAATAACGTATAGGGTATAAGTGAATTGACGAGCAATCTTTACTAAGTTTATTTTGCCTTGTTGGTGAGCGCTAAATTCAAAAAACTGTGATTATAGCCGGCAAAGCGCATAAATTAGCAGACCTTAAACGCTTTTCAAAGAGCCTAATGTCGTCAAGAGGCCGTTTTAATTACTCGTATTCTACAGGCAGCAGTATACGAATTTTTAGTCTAGAGGAAGCTTTTTTCTGTACCAGTTGACCTGTAAACGGCTTTAATCGCTGACAAAGTAGCGTTAGTCTTTCTAAATGAATAACAGATTTGCATGAATTGAGGCTGTTTCAAACAACAAAAGTTACAGAGAGTCTATAGGGGGCTTCCCTCCATCTATTTACCGTAATTTCTCAAAGAGCTTAAATTACTACTGTTAAACACGTAACTGACTAAATAAGATCAATCTTTCAGTGCACGAGTTAATATACTTTGGATCTTCCAACTCTATAGAGCTAGCAGTCTCAGCTTCTCTCCGAGTCCGAGAATGACACTGAAGTAGGTAATAACCTAGCTAATGAACTGAGTCCTGACTTTCTCCGGAGATAAAAAAAGCTAAAACGCCATTAGACAGTGCTTTTTTCTCCACCAGCCGCCATCTTATTCTTGCTTGCCCCGGGATTATCAAAATGTTCTGCTTGATTTAGTTTCTCACTTGCTTATTTTATTCTTCAAACTTTCAGTACATGCACTTGCATTTTTTTTTGTTTTGTTTCTCAGCCGACAACGAGGAAAAGGATCCTCATTTGTTCGTGTTATGACAGATGTCACTATCCGGCATTCTGTCTGGTCTTGGCCTTAGTCGTTTTCCTCTTCATCTTTCGAATAGCTCCCCAAAAGGGGTTCGTTCAGTTGGTCCTTTTCGCCAAAAAATAACGAAAACATATAATACGACCACATAGATGCATGAAGAATAAATATAATCAGTACATGTAAAGAAAATACAAATTCCGAGAGCTCCACATTTTCTGGGGTGTTTTTCCAAGGTTTAGTGCCATAAAGAATGAAACCAATGTGCAAAAACCAATTTCCCTGCAAGCTCAGTAAATAAGTTCTCGAAACGCTCACAACGGAGGCACAGAGGCGGATTTAGGGGAAGGACCCGCACCACCCCCCCACACCCTCAGACCAACCAGAAGCACGCCACGCAGAGCACACCACCTGCGAGCACCCCCGACCGACTCCCCTCAGCGGGCACGCAGCACGCGCCCGCACGCGCCCCACCACCACGCCCCCCCCGCCACACCACCCCCCGCC